CGTGTGACTCTCCTCACATCCTCTGTCCCTTTATTTGCGTCTCATTCCCTTGCGACAGTGTAAATTCACCAAGGAAACAGCACTCTTATACTAGCCTCTCCTTCTTCCATGGCACCTGCCTGGTTTCATAATGTCCGCGTGGCTTGGGAAGGAGGCATGAAGACTTCCTTGAGAAACAGTTGGGGCATCATGATACAAAAGAAAACAGGCTTCTTGAAGTCAGAGCCAGGATTTGGGAGCATAAGGCTGAAAGATCACTGAAGGGTGGAGGCTTGGAAAGGACGATTTAGAGCTATGAGAATGTAGGAGCCTGCTCTCTGTAACAAATACGCAAACTACTCCTGAGTGCTGAGGCAGGGGTGCTGTTCTGGCACGGGCTGGCCAGAGCCCAGCCGGAAAGGGCTATTTACGTGTGGGTGCTTCCGAGAGGGAGTATGCCCGGGATAGTCCAGTAAGAGGGAGGGGAGCAGGCTGCAGAGGGCAAGAAGCCAAAGCAAGAGCTCGGACAAGGTTCCAGCCACTGGACCTGCCAAGTGTTTAGGAGTACAGCTCACAGCCTTTGCCCTCGCCAAGACAAGGGTACCAGCCTTTCCCTCCCACACACCAGTTGGTCACCAGATGAAAGCCACTTTGAAGCACTGAGGAAACTTTTCAGGCATTTTTGGCTCTGCTTCTGTGAATCAAATAGCCCCAGTAGCCTGAGTCTGCTTTGTAAGAAGCGCAGGTGCAGGCGATGAGAAGCGAGAGCACCCGGGAGCCCGGTCACGGTGCACAAATGTTTGAGAGTGTCCAAGTGGGACATCAATCACGGCGCATCCATTACTATTGGTCTGGGATCTTCACTTGATTGGCTGCACCACACTGACGTAAACCCATGCAAAGCAGTGGTCTATGCATGGCCCTCGTCTATGAAGCAGAAACCCCGTGCCTTTTCTTATTTTCATCACAGCGTGCTTGCAAAATCAAAAGGCAGGGTATGTAGAATCCTGTTGACAAGATGTTAGGCAAAGCCAGGAGCTGAGAGTGCTCTCCCTCATCATCAGCCTGGAGTCTGCGTTAGCACTCGGGCCTCTCCTGACTCACAGGCATCCCAACTGACAGCCTTTGAAAGGAGCTTGTTCACATTAGGAAGAAAGCAGCCACTCTTCTAATGTTGATAAATTTTGCAGCAGCGTCTTTAATATATACCAGCCGCCTTGAAACACATCTAATTAAGCAGCAGATAACTTACTGGGACTGCACTTGTCTTTGATGTGCTCGTCAGGGTTGGGAGGGAGGTATTGGCAAGCTAATCATAATAGGACTTAGCTCTTATAAAATGCCTTTTATCTTCAAAGTGGTTTACAACCACTAATTATTAGAGGAATTAGGGTGAATAGCAACCATCTTGGTGAGACCTGAAGCCATTAGCCGGGGCCTTTAATGTATCTTATAATAGATCAGGGGAGTATGGAGGGGGGGTTTAATAACAGCTGTCCGAACCTGGAAGAATTATTTCATGGAGGTAAGACAGCTGTTTCCTGTCTCCCTGGAGGCGAGAACATGGAAATTGGACCTAATTTGAGGAGAAAGGATGCTGACTGGAGGATTGCATAAGCTTCAGCAGGCTGCCAGAGGGAAGATGGCCTCACCAATGGCACCTGCGCTCACCTGACCCTTTGTGGGGCTCGTCCCCTTCCTGGTGGTCTGGTGTGGGTGAGGTCACGGCACCATGTTCCATCCAGCTGGAGAGTCCGTGTTAGATTAATGAACTTTGATTTTCTTCTTCATGTGCTTGCTCTCTTTCCTTCTCATATGAGAGGTAAAGAGACGAAAGCACATGAAGATATACGTGACTGAATGAGAAATTAGAACACCCCCCCCCAGTCGTGGCCATTTAAAGGCTTGGTCCCCAGTTGGTGGCACCATTTGGGAGGTTTAGAAAATGGAGCCTTGCTGGAGGAAATATGTCACTTCGAGATTAACAAGCCTTCATTGCTTCTCTCTGTCTCTGTCTCTGTCTCTGTCTCTCTCTCCCTCGCGGTTCAGGACCTGAGCTCTCAGCGTCTCAGTCCAGCTGTCACCCCGCCTCTTGCTACCTTGTCTCCCCACCATGGTGGGTTCCTATCCCTCTGAAAGGGTAAGTGAAAGTAAACTCTCCCTTCTGGAAGTTGCCATTTTATACCAGCAACAGAAAAGTTACTAATTGAGATGTATGCTTCATTAGTTTGGCTCGCTAAAATACAACTGAGGTGAAGGAAGCCAGTCTGATTTCAACAACATATGTAGCAAATCTGTTCTCTCTCTTGGTGATAATTTTTATTCCCAGCTCTTCTTGCCCTGCCTCCTGCATTTTACAGATGGGAAAAGGGAATCGTGAAAATGTCACCTAACTCATTTAGTGTTACACAGCTAGGCATTGATGGAAGCAGGATTTGAACCAGGGACAACTTGGCTCTCCCATTCTGCTGTGCCACCTCCCAGAAGCTCAAATGTGGTCACTTCACCCTTACTTCTCTCCCCAGCAAAGGAGCAGGGTGGGCAGATGTGTAGTCTGTTGTTTGGCAAGAACTGTCTACTTTCAACCGTGCCATCTCTGAGCTAGTCATTGAGAACTTGGGGTCCCAGTGCACGTGGGGCTCCCCTCCCACTGAAACCTGGATAGTTCAGGAGATTTGAGTGGCTCCCAGGGATGCTTTGGGGCTTTGACCGGCTAGCTGCAGAAGGGACTCAAGGGGAAGCCACGTGATTCAGTGGCCACCTTCAAGTTAGGCATCAGGTATAGTGAGGAGAGAAGTAGCCGCTGCAGCCAGATTAAGAGAGAAATTCACTTCAAACCCTCAGGAGGGACTTAGGCTTGATCTACAAACTTTCTGATTACACAGTTAAGCTGCTAGAATTACTTTGGATAACTGGGAAATCTTCCTAGAAATGTTTAAGGACTGGATAATTTCCATCTGCGTGTGAAGTGGTTTTATGGGATTGTTCAGGAGGCAAAGAGTGGTTTGGAAACTCAGCCACAGGCAGGGGCAAAGTATGATCAGCTGAGGGATGTGTCTCAGGGTTAGGATGTACTTAGCATGGCATGGCCTGGGTTTTGTCTTCAGTCAAGAGGAAAGAGGGAGGGAGGGGGGCCAGGAGGCTGCAAGGAAGGTGTAACTTAGCCTGTCTTTTTTGTGACTGTTCTGTCTGTTGGTCTAATGAAAAATCTTGAATTACAAACATTACTATTGTCTGTGCATGCATACAAATGCCACCGGATGAGTGTCATAGTCAGAGGACAGATTTATGGAGCCAGTTCTTCCCTTCCCTTTACCTGGGTCCTGAGAATTGAACTTGGGTCACTAGACTTGCATGGCAAGTACATTTACCCACTGAACCAACCATCTTACCAGCCCCTCTAACAGCAAGCTTTGGAGACAAGAACACTGTCCATCTCCAAGGTTAAGGCTTCCTTGGGCTCTCTCCAGGTGGAGATAGCTGAGCTCAGAACAGGAATTCTCCTTTGCTTTGAGATGGAAGCAGTAACACTTACATACCCGCCCCCCTACCCTTGGAAAACCCAACAAGCTGTGCAAAGATTTCAAGTCAAGCCAGGCTCCTCAGGGGAAGAGAAAGAAGGCTGGATGACAGTGGATAAGTAGCCTTCCCCAGGAGCTCTGCCCTATTTCTGTGTGTTTAGAGCAGCAATTCTCAGCCTTGGTGTCATATATCAGATGTCCTGCATATCAGATACTCATTACGATACACAACAGTAGCAGAATTACAGTTACGAAGTAGCAGTGAAATGATTTTATGGTTGGGGGTCACCACAACATGAGGAACTGCACAGTCTTGAAGTTTCCACAGGGGAATAGCTTAAGTTCAACAATTTTTCTCCTTGATGGAGTTAAATGTCAAAGGAAGAACCAGGGTTCTGGGTTAGAGACAGTAGACTGGGTCTGTGGTTCAGAGCTCCTGCTGACCCAGGTTCTGTTCCCAGCACCCATGTGCCAGCTCACGTCTGTCATTTCAGTTCTAGGGGATCCACTGACCTCTTCTGACCTCTACGGGCACTGCACAAATGTGATGTACTGACATACATGCAGACCCATGTATGTTGAACACCCATATATGGAAGACTGCTTGCATTCACACACACACACACACACACACACACACACACACACCATACACACACACACACATATATGCACACAAATCTATGTTAAAATTTATCAAGCTTTTGACTTCAAAGTCATGCAGCTTTTCATATGTCAATAACTTAATGAGTGTATTGAGAAGGAGGAGGAGGAAGATGAAGAATTACTGTTGTATTGGGGCTGCTACCTTCTTCTGTCTCCTCAGGCCTAAACACGATAGCCTAGTCTATTGCATATGTATGTGAACATATAATTTTATGTGTAAGGTTGTTTTGTCTGCATGTATGTAGTCTGTCTGGATTCACACGTTGCACTCAGGAAATGAAGGCAGTGATCATATCTGCCTGTAACCTAGATCTACCCTTTCTCATCCCTCCTCACTCTGTATCGTCTTTCTGTCTTGCTCATTTTCATTTTCCATAAATGTGATCAAATGCAATAACAAACGTGGACAACAACTGTACGTGCATTTATGTAAGCGGAATCAAGTGACACGTATTCTTCCTTGGCTTCTCGTGTTTGTGTGATTAGTTGAAATCTAACCCATTTTTGTTACTCAAGATCCAGGTCATTGTCCATTTGTGCTGAGTAGCTTCTGTTGTGTGCACACACTACAATTTGTGTGTCCATTCGTCTTTTTTTTTTTTGGTGTTGTGTGGGTATTTAAGTTTGGAGAGTGTAGGGCACCTTCTAGCCCACCTCTTTTCAATCTCCTGTGTTTCATCCCTTCTCTCTTGATAATGAAGAATTGGTTGCTAAGAGATGTCAGGACATGCCAGTGACCAGCTCTGAACTCCACTTTTCTCCCTTTCTGCTCTATTTCTGTCTCGCTCCACCGTATTCACACACTTCTTTTTCCCACCTCCCCTGTTCAGGTTCTGAAAACCCACAAAGAAATCCACAGGTCTGATGGCCACCCTCAAGAGAAGGGAAGATTCAAGCTCCGAGATACCAGGCCATGTGTGTCGGGAAAGTGGAGCCTGCACGGAGTGGCTGGACCACCCAGAGAGGTTGGAGGTGGAGGAGCAGGTGCCAGACCAGAGTGTCATGTGGAGGAAAGCACAGGAATTCTTTCAGACATGTGACTCTGAGGGCAAAGGCTTCATCGCCAGGTCGGACATGCAGGTGAGAAGGGTCCCTGCTTTGAGTTTCATGTGGGCAGCTGCTGCTAGTACAAACTGTGTGGGGACCTGGTCTCTGTACAGTCAATGGCTCTTGCCTGATGTTGGGCTGTTTGCCTGGCTCTGCCTCAAAACTATAGGACAGGGTATGCCACACGGGTTTGAGGATGTGGATCACCTGAGTGTGCTTGTCTAGCTAGCAGTGATGATGCCCAAAGTTTAATCTCTAGCATCACATAAATGTACATGAATGGGGTGTTGTGGTGCATGCCTGTAAACCCAGCTACATAGGAGGTTGAGGCAGGACTGTTGGCTCAAACCCAATGGGTAACTCAGTGTGATCTTGTCTCAAAAATAAAATTAAAAGGAGATGGGGATGAAGTTCAATGTTAGAGCACTTACCTACCATCTCAAAGGCTGTGGGTTCAAGTCCCAGTACTGAAAAAGATGACATTTATGAAGTGACCTTTAAATTTTATGTAATTTCTTATGTGTTACTACGACTCTTCCTTTTTTCTTCTTCTTCTAGCCACTTAGAAATGTAAAAGCCATTCTTACCTTACTGACCATACAAAACTAGGCAATGACAGGTTTAGCATTAGGAGTATCATGCCTAGGACACCCCTACCTTGTTCCCCTGTCCCTGTGTCCCCTCAACTGCTCCCAAGAATGAAATGGCCCATTCCCAGAAGTTGAGAAGACACAGTCTATAGCAACCAACCTACTAAAGCCAAGGACATCACAGTCTGTCATGGGATGGAGAGAGATACAGCCTCAGCTCTCCTAATGATGCTCAGAATAGCTGAGGCATAACCCTGGCAAGAAACAAGTCTGATCAGACTGCTGTAGATGTCCAAAGGAAGAGTGTGTGCACTTCTGGCAGTAAAAATGGCCCTCCTCTAGTTTCTTCTCCCATGTGAGTGTCTCTTGAGCATGGCTGAAACCATGTAACCACATGCTTGGTGAAGGTGGCTGAGCCTGAATCTGAAGACCCCTGCCTGGTTCACGCTATCTGCAGACTTGATGTGGCGTCCATGCGTTCATGCATACACAGGCAGGTGTAGGGGGTGGAAGGCTGCTTGAGGGTCCTTCTGACCTTGGGGTTTCCTTCCTGATCCTTTCCAGCCAAAATATAATGGAGGCTATCAATTATCTGCCAGACCCAGCAACCTGAAGCTCACTAGGAAGGAAAGAAATCTAATCCCAAAGAAAGCCTTGGGATCCTGCTGTGATGGGAGCCAGGGAAGACTTATTCTACCTCCAGGGGGGATTTCTTTCATTTCCAATGGACCGAATAAGTTTCCTACTTGGAAAACCAACACTCTCCCACCCTGAATTCTCTCCCTGTGGTTCTTGCCACAGCTGGTTTATGGGCTGTTGTTGTCTGCTAGAGTCTTTGCATGTGCTTTCCCTTTCCTTCCTTTTTTGAAAAGCTCATATCTAATTCAGCTCTTCCAGATGGCTTTCCCATTAGCCTCTCTTCCCACCTGGTAACATGTCCTAAATGCCACTGTTAATGTACAGAACAGTCAAATGATGTTTTGTGGCTCATCAGCTTAAAGACCATGAGCCAAGCACTCCCTCCAGGTGTGTCATGGGCTGTCACACCTGCCGACTCTGACTGTCCACATGTGTCCCTTCCTGCAAAGCCCCATGCACGCTGGCACAGGAGTGGCTTGTGCAGCTGGCCCTTGGGTCCCTCAGGAGAAGGCAGGCCAGCTGAGAGGTAACAAGTCTCTTGGGGCTCCTCACTTGGAGATGGGTTGTTAGGGACAGGAGGACTCTTGCTTTGGCCTGGGGCCATTTCACACCAGACAGACAGATGCCAGCGGGAAGTGTCAACAGCTCAGCTCCCTCATTCCTCATGCTGTCAATGGGTGCAGGCTCTAAATCCCCAAGGCCCTCCTCAGTGACCTACCTCCACCAGCTAGCTCTCACAACCTCCTGAAACAACACCTTCACTTGAGGGGCTAAGTGTTTAATCCCATGGACTTGTGGGGGACATTGCACATTCAAATCAGAGCCAAAGGGGACAGTTGTACAACACTGTGTGCGCGGTGTCATTTGCAGTTAGAAGGGGGTTTAGTCAGCATCTTCGAGGCTAAATAACCAAATATGTCCATAACTAAGGAAGACCCACATAATAGGAGAGGTAACATGACTCAGGAAAGGGGATACCCAGAGGATGAGACCACGATGCAATGCCACCAAACCTGGCTTGTCAAGGTGGTCCATGAACCTGTCTCTTCCTCTTTCTGTCCTTTCCCACTATTATTTATTTTGTACTAAGGGTCACACCTGGGGCCTTGTGCAGGTTATATAAGTTTTCTACAATTCAGCTCTATCCTCAGCCTGTTTTTACTTTTGAATTTGAAAAAGTCTGACAAAGTTACCCAGGCTGGCCTTGAACTTGGCATCCTCCTGCCTCAACCTCCCAACTAGCTAGGATTACAGGCCTGTGCTGACAGGCCCTACTTCCCATCCTGCTTTGATTGAGTGGTTTCCAGATGCCAGGTATGGTGTACTAGCCTTCCCATCTGTGGTCTCACTTAGCTTCAGAACAACTCATCCTCAAGGAATCTACCTAGAGCTACTCAGTCCTGTACAGCATTGCTCCTTGTCAGTGCTAAGACCTAGAGTCAACTCCTTGGCTATATGACCCTGGAACTGGCAATTTAGCTTTAAACGTCATCTTTAAAATGGGAATATTAATATTCACCCCAAAGGGGTAGCGTAAGAATTCAATGCAAACCGATACACACATACATATGTTTCTCTATAAATCATATAGAAAATTGTCAGTTGCATTAGTTGGCACCCATTAAAGGGTTCCTGCACAAATATGAGAGGGAGGACAGTGTTTTCGGCTTTTGCAGACCTGAGCCAAGCTCTAAGCCCCCACGGCCATCAGCATGCTGATCAGTGTGGTCTGGATTGCTTTCAGAGGTTACATAAGGAGCTACCCCTGAGTCTGGAGGAACTGGAGCATGTGTTTGATGCCCTGGATGCTGATGGCAACGGCTTTCTGACCCCAGAGGAGTTCACTACTGGATTCAGTAAGTTCTTATGGGTGCTGGGGATACAGGGCTGGAAGTCTCCCTGCAGCTGTGTAACACATATTCCTGTTCCCTCCACCTCTTTTTGGAATCTGTCTCTGGAGCTTTTCTGCTCTCTCTTTGGAAGTGCAGAGCCAGAGGTTGAGAGAGTAGATAGATCATTGGGCTCTTTTCACATGCCCACCTTGACTGTTCATACCACAGCATCCTCTGTGCCCATGGACTGTCACCGCCAGGGCCCCCATGTGGGAGCTCAGGCAGGTTTGGCATCAGCAGGAAGCTGTGCCAGGATTTTCAGCCCCATCTTTCCAGCCTTGATAGTCAAAATAAGCAAGCAAAAGTGTGTGATAACAAGATAGCTCAGCCTAAGTCCAGCTGAGAGGCAGCAGCTATGAGAGAAATTCCTAGATTTGACTAGCTCAGTCATTCTCAAGGTCCTAGGAAGAAAGAGAACTAAGATCTGGGAGTGTGATAAAGAATCCAGATCCTACCTCCAGATGAGATGAGCCAGTGGGCCAATTTCTCCATCTCTTTGCCTCCCACAAAGGGCCATGTTATTTCCTTAAACATACCAGATGCCTTTCCTGGCTTCCTGGAGCTTTTCATTGACTTGAAAGGATGGGGCACATTGCTGTCATGCCAGCCAGCATGAACATTGAGAAAGTTGCCTATACATATATAGTGGTGCAGACGGCGGGGTGGCAGTCCAAGTACTGCTACCAAAGAAAAATAACGAGAAGAAAAGCATATCTTTTCCTCTTTCTGCACTGAGAGGTAAAGCTGGAGAGGGGACTTGAACCCAGACCCTTGGTTACACTAGACAAATGCTCTACCACTGAGCTACATCCCCCAAAGACACATGCACTACATCTAATTTTAGAGATTCACAGAGGGGCCAGCCTGCTTCCCAGACACTGTCTCCAGGCTCTGGCATCTCTCTCAGAATGCAAATGGAAGATCAAAGAACACAATCTCCAGATGCAGTGACTGGCCATGGATCTTTGCTATAGAGGGACCCTTTTCGCCTCTCTAGGGCAAACTTTGCAAGATTCCCAGGCAAAGAGGAAGCCTAGTCCCTCTGGGCTGACCCAAGTCCTTGCTCTCTACTCTCCTAGGTCATTTCTTCTTCAGTCAAAATAGCCAAAGTGAGGAGGAAGCTGGCAAGCAGGTGGCTCAGCTCCAAGAGGAGAAGGTGTATCAGTCTAGAGGGGGTGACGATGCGGAAGGTGTGGAACACGACGAGGAAGCACAGTTCCAGATGCTGATGGATAGACTTGGAACCGAGAAGGTTTTGGAAGAGTAAGTCTATGCTGTGCCCCACCCATTCCTATTCGCCTCTCTCCCATGCTCTCCACTTTCTGCTGTTAATTGTCATCATCACAGACCGTGGGTCTGCTCACCCTGCAAAGGGTGCCCCTTGTCAGAGACAGTTTGGATGTGTGTTCATGCAGGGTGGGAATGGTTTAATGATTAGAGGGAGAGTCATGCCTTCAGGAAGGGAAGGACCTAGGGTGGGAAGTGACCCAGCAAGGGCAGCAGAGAAGTGTCCTGCTCATGGTAGATCAGTTTAATGTGAGGTGAGAAAGGCTGGCAAAAGTGTGCATCAGGCAAGAAGGGGCCAGACCAAGGCCCAGGAGAGAGTCTGGCTGGTGGAGGAGGATGGGTAGGAAGTGAAACTTGCCACCAGCAGCAGGGCAGGAAGGTGGGCTGTGAATAACCCAGGAAGGTGCTCAGGACACAGATAGGCATCAGGGAGAACTCACTAGTCAGACAGGTGACTCCGCTTCTCCTAGGACAAGAGGCCAGAGCCCAGGTACCACTGCCAGGAACTCCACAAAAGCCTCCTGCTGTAAGAAGAGGAAGAAGAGAGCAGTGGCAAGAGCAGACCACTGTCACAAACAGCAGGGGCTACCAGCCACCTTCCTGAAGGGCTCTTAAGTCAGTGCTCTACAGATGTCACACAGAGATGTTGTTGTTTTACTCTTTTGGCCTTTGGGGAGCCACTACTCAGCTCTCAAATAAATCAAGTGGAATCTTACTCTTTTTTATGGATGCCTGGACTTAGCTTGGCTTGTTTCTAGCCAGCTCTTCTTAAATTATTCTATCTTTTGCCTCTGGGCTTTTTCCTTTCTCTATGTCTGTATATTTTTTCTTTCCTTCTTACTCTGTGGCTGGCTGTGTTGCTAGATAGCTGGCCCCTTACATCTTCCTCTCCTCCTCTTCTCATTCCTTGGTCTTCTCTTCCTAGATTTCTATTTATTTTCTCTGCCTGCCAGCCCTACCTATTCTTTCTCCTGCCTTGCTACTAGCCATTCAGCTCTTTATCAGACCAACCAGGTGTTTTAGATAGGCAAAGTAACACAGCTTCACTGAGTTGAACTAACGCAACATAAAAAAAATGTAACGTGCTGGGTGGTGGTGGTGCACACCTTTAATCCCAGCACTTGGGAGGCAGAGGCAGGCAGATCTCTGTGAATTCTAAACCAGCCTGGTCTACAAGAGCTAGTTCCAGGACAGCCTCCAAAGCCACAGAGAAACCCTGTCTTAAAAAATAAAGGTAATAATAATAAATAAATGGATGTAACACATCTTGCATCATTAAATACTACACAGAATAAACAAATGAAATACATCTTTAACTAATATTCTACAACACCGAGGACCATGTCAAATACCTGTGTAGAACTGAGATAAAACGGAATGTCTGAAAGATGGTTTCTAGAATGGCCTATAAAGGTCAAGGGAGAAGACAGTGATAGTCCCCATCCTCACTGATGAGTTCACTCTGTAACCTGAGGAGATCTGTTCATGATAGTATAACCCCAGACAAGAAGCACAAGCAGGTTGGAATGGCTTCTAAGCTGTCTACTGCTCAATAGAGCACTTGTGAGTTATTCTAGAAGTATAGAGATGGACTGGTTGACTTCATTGGACCTCTCTAACCTACACTGCTTAGTGGTACCACAAGAGGTAGGTAGCATCCAGAAGTGGGCATCCAGACACACAGCTTTTCTTCGATGTCTGGTAGAATGATTTTACCAATTAATGAGATATGACTTTTTGTCACAAGTTGAAACATTCAGCCAGTGTTCATTTCTTTCATGTTGCTGTGGCTAGATGGAAATAACATGCGAGAAGGATGATTCCTTTTTCCTTCAGAGGGTTTCAGCCTGACATGGATGGAGGACTGATGGATAGATGGGTGGGCAGGCAATTGGATGGTCTCAATGAATAGGTAGATGTTGAATGGACTAGAAAGGATGGAAATGCAAGACAAAGGGAAGAAAGAAGAGAAGGGAGAAGGGGAATGGGCGATGATCATCCCCTAACCGGTAGTGGATTCAGTCAGCGGTAGTTTTTTCTGTTGGATACAGAGAGTCCTATCTGTGCCACAAGAACACTACTGACATGACCTGACCCAACATCACTTCTGAGCAAAGCTTCTGAAATATAGTGTTTACAATAGTCTGAAAGATTTTCTCGTTTATCCTGGGAGTGCCTGGCCTTGCCCTCCAATCATATTGGCTTTAGGATTGAATGGGGGATAAGTCAGATTTGTGCTTTGTGTACTTCAATCGCAGCTGTGAATATTTGTGAGGCTCACACCTGCAGCTGTCTACATTCTCCTTTCGGTGATTGGGTCATCATGGCCTCTCTCTCTGCTGTTCCTTTAGGTGAACGTTCCCCCCCAACATTCTGGGTGATTCTTGTGACCTGTCACTCCACCTCTTTCCTGCACACCTCAGAGTCTGACTTCCCACTTGTCTGTCTGTGCACATCCTCCAGACTCACTCTTTCCCTTCCTTGCCCCCCCTCCCCGCCAGACCCCACACAGTGCCACCAGGTCCCAGTGGAGTGCTGTGTGTTTGCCTCCTTTCCCAGCAGTGACAATTACAATATTCTACCATCCATAAGACAGCATGTCCACCTCTCAGGCATGAGGACACCCTTCCCAGGGGTGACAGCCTCTCTCCAACTCTCAGTGTTGGCCCTACCCAACTGCTTTCCAGTCCCCTCTCACTACCAAGATGCTGGCAAGCACATTGCCAAGCATGCTCCATGTGGCCAGTCGGTCATGACCATCACAGAGGAAGGAAGCAGCTCAGGGAGAGATCAGCACAGGAGGAGTCGGGCTGCTGAACGTGAGCCTGCACTCTGTCATTGCACCAGGGAATGGTCCTAGCATGCCACACCTGCATCCCAGGTCATAGTGAGGATGAAGGGAGGCAGTGCGCAGCAAACACTTTGTGCCGTAAACTCTTGCTATTGCTATTTTTAAGGTGACTGGGATGGTGTTTCCAGCTGTTCATCCCCCTGTCTGGAACCCCACATGTTTCCCACAGGACCACACTTGCCTACTTCTCATTAATGTCTCTTGTCCCTCTCAGTGAAAGTGATGTCAGGCAGCTGTGGCTACAACTGAAGAAGGACGAACCTCACTTGCTGTCCAACTTCGAAGACCTCCTCACCACAATCTTTGCTCAGCTCCAAGAAGCCCACGAGCAGAAGAATGAACTGGAGTGTGCCCTCAGAAAGTAGGTGCCCATCTCTGCCTGTCCCGGGCGTGCACCTCCTTCTGTCTTTTTCATGGGCTCATTAAAGAATGTCTCTGTCACTATCTCCCAAAGAGGGTCAGAGTACTATGGTTAGCACGGTGTATCTGCTTCTCAGTCCCAGCTCATCCTTATTAAGTACTCCATATTTGTTACAAGCTATTTTAAATACTTTATGTACATTATCTCATTTGATAGGGGTTATCCACAGTTACCCGCATTTACGGATGAAAAAATAAGACTCAGAAAGTAACATAGCCAAGAATGCACAGCTTGTAAGTGGTGGGTGCAGGATTCAGAGGTAGATAGCCCAGAGCCCTGGACAGGCCCATCTGTAGGCAGTAAAGCGCTAGTGTTCTGGCCCTCCCCAACTCCCAGTATCCCTTGCGTTGTAGAGACAGAATATCCGTAAAGGGGCAGTGAAGAATGTTTCCCCCCCCCCCACTGTAGCCTCCTTTCTCAGGAGTCTCTTTGCCACCACAGTGAGTCATAAGACAGGACAAAGAGCCCCCAAGAAACTGCTGCCAATCAAGGGTCCACACAGGCAGGTGCATCAGATCAGAGGCAGCCGGTGGAGGTGGATCCCCTCAGATAACTAAGGTGCTCAGGAGGCTGTCCTGGCTCCTGGTGATATAACATGCACAGTGAGCCGCATTTGGAAACATGGAATTGGCTGTCCAAGGGTGGCCAGTCACCCTAAAGCGGAGGCTGAGACCCAAGGCAGAGCGGGCAGAGTGGGCAGAGCGGGGCAGAGCAGGCAGAGCAGGCAGAGCAGGCAGAGCGGGCAGAGCGGGCAGAGCGGGCAGAGCGGGGCAGAGCGCGGTGCACCTAATAGAACCCTTCATGTCCCTTGGCATTCTCCTGTGAGCCAGACTGATCACATTCTCTGTGACTCCTCCGTGAGCCCTCCCTCTTGCTGGGGTTGGGGGTGGGGTTCTGCAGAGCACCTGCCCAGTGACATACTTCTTCCCCAGAGTTACTGAGGAGCTGGGCTGGAATACCGCCCCATCCAGAGGAAGTGTGTGTTGCTGGGGGGATTGCAGGGTATGCACTATGCCACACCTTTTTTTCTCTTGTGCTTTCTGGCAAAGTAACCTGCCAAGGGTAGAGCTACATCTAGGGGAAAAGGCATTAGAACTCCTCTTCGGTAAGACTGAGGCTAAGTCATGCAGAATGATACCCAGGTAGACGTCTAGAAGATTGTTAGGAGCATTTCAGGGAGCCCACCAGGCTTGGAAAAAGAAAGGGATGGGGAGGGAACTTGGAATCAGACAGAAGCCAGCTTAAATCTTGGCTCTGCCACCTGTTAACTAGCTGTGAAACATACATGAAGTTGCTTAGCCTCTGAGTCTCAGTTTCCTTCCCCGCAAGACAGACACGGCAGCAGTGTCCATCTCACAGAGCTGGATGAGCCAATGGCATCACACTCGTATTAGAACACTGTGAATGCCAAGGGAATAATGACTGTTGTCCGCAGCATCTTGGGCAGTTTGGGAATTTGTTTGACTGAAAGGGAGAGTTTGAGCTTTGCCTAGGTGAAGTTGTATTCCCGATGTGGCATCTCCAGGCCGCATCTTGACATGGTGTCCCCGAGCATTGTGTGTATACCTGAGAAGCAAGGCTGGCAGCCAGGACATCTGGGGTGAGTTCTGCAGGGCTTGGCAACCAGAGGGCTGTTACCTTGCTCAAGTCTCTTGGCCTCTTTAGACCTTGTTTCCACATCTGGAAAGCAAGGGCTAAGGATTAGTTTTCTTCCTGACCCCAGCACTGATGGCTGGTTGAGTGGAGCCACAACAAAGACAGCGCCCCCACCCAGGGAGGCGGTCAATTTGTTCCCTAAGGAGGATGAGTACTACCTAAATGGAGGGGCAGTTGGCCTGCCTGGCTCATGCTGTCACACACAGGGCCGCCTCTGCTGGCCCCACTCCTGCAGGGAAAGGCAGTCTTGCTGTGTTGTGGGGCCTCTTAGCCCCGGATCCATCTGAGAGTGGCTGCAAGTCCTAATTTAGTAATTGCTTTCAGCATTCTTGAGATGAAAGTCGAGGACACTCTAGGCCACATGTTCAAATCCATCTCCTTCCCTTCTTGACCATCACCTGTCTGTAGTCCTGCTGGCCCAGGCTAATCATGGCCGGCTCCCATGGAGGTGGGGGGTGGCGGGTGGCGGGAGGGGGTTCTTCTGTCTGCCAATCTCACCCAGAGGGACTCTGGCTACAGGACCAGAGCACTTGAGGTAGCAGTGGGTAGAAAACCCACACAGAACAGAGGAAGAACTGGAGTTCTTGCCCAGGTCTGGCCACTTACAAGCTGTGTGACTAGGAGCTACTTGCTTTCCCTCTCTGTGCATAGGCTCTTTTGTTGCCAGCATGTGTGAATGAATTGTTTTTCAGACCTTTTGTGATTGTGACCTACCAGAAACAAACAAACAAAAAAAAAAAAATGTGTTTTGTGGGACAATGAGATTTTCTGCTAGAGACTTATAAAAGTCTCATTTATTTTTTCTATTAAAAAAAAATGGGTCACGCCTTGTCAGTGACCACGTGCATAACCTTGGCAGCTCAGGAATGAGACAAGAAACTGGAAATGGGGTACTGAACTCCTAAATGGTCTCTCTGCAAATGTCACAAAGTGAGACTTCAAGCTTGGAAGCTGTTAGGGGAGGATGTGTCCAAGCTTCGGAGAAGGAAGCAGGTTCAGAGAAGGGAAGGGTTTCAGAGCTGAAAATTGAGCCAGGGCCTCCTGGGAACCCTGCGTCCCTCTGAGCTGCCAGAATGTGTTTCCAACTCTGCCAGGCTCTCGTTCAGGACAGGTGTGACATTTCAATTCGATCTGAAATGATCGCCTGTCACAGAGGCTGGAAGTGACAAAAACAAGCCATGGCTGCTCTGTCCCCTCCCCCCTCCCAATCCTGGACTGACTGACATATGTGTTACCAGTAGGTAGCGTTTAATTAGCGCTTCCTCTATGCCAGGCTCTGAGTTTAGTCACCATCCCTGAGGAGTGCATGGTCACTCTGACCAGGCAGATCTGAAAAAAAAAAAAAAAAAAAAAAAAAAAAACCCTGCCCACCACTGACCAGGAAATCCTGACTGGAGCTTGGGGCAGCATGGCCACAGGTGTAAATGGTCTCTGCTTCTTGTCTTTGTAAGTTTCACAGCTTGCCTCTTCCTCCAGCAATGCCCAGTCTGGTCTTCCTCTGGTTGGAGGCACATATGCCCGTTCTCAGCTCCGCAGGCTGGACTGGAAACCTTGGGTCACAGCTTTGCTACAGTGAACGGAAAGTGTCCTATCCACCTCACCTATTCGCAGGTTTGGGAGGGAGAAGATGCCCCTGGAAGAGGGATGCTCAGGAAAGCACTGACATCAGAGACCAACCCCAGAGTGTGCCAGGGTGTTGTCAGAAACCTGGGCCTGCCTCCCCTTGTTGCCATGGATATGGTTGAAATAGACGTATCTGGAAGCATCGATCTCCTACCGTGTTTCTGTGTCCATTGGGAAGTAACATCAGCCTCATGAGGCTGGGTGAAAGACGATCAAAGGCAAGAGCCTGGTCCTCTGCCTAGTGTTCAGTGAGAACTGCTCCTTCCGGGCCTCGATTTTCTCTGAGGATGTGGGTGTGGCATGATACACCAGCTGCTATCTTTCACACTCCCAGAAATTGAGGGAACTGTACATTCTAGCATAAGGGGTTCACTAGTTACCTGGCAAGAAGCAGGTGACTTAGGGTAAGAAAGCCTGATTTGGGGCTCATGGTTGGAGGATGTACAGTCAGTCTTTGGGAAGTAATGGCTGAGGATGGCTTTGAGTAAGTGTGCAATGGTTTATTCTCATCTCAGTAGACCAGAAAACACACACACACACACACACACACACACACACACACACACACACACACAAGGGGCATTCACATGCATGGGGTCAGGGAGGGAAGGAGGGAGGGAAGAGCCAAATTCAACACAAGTAAGGCTGTAACCCCTAACGCTCACCTCCTAGCCACCCACTTCCATCTAGCCTCACCTCCTAAAAGATCTACAGTGCTACCAGCTGGGGACCAAGGGTTCAAACCCATGAGCCTGTGGGGGCATTTCATACCCATACCATAATGAGAGCTATAGATTGTTAGCCCTGTGGGAGAATTTCTGGCTGCCAGAATTAGGAAGTTCCTGGCCATGGAAAGAGTTCTCTGCACTTTCTGTTTTCTGGAAACAGAAAGAAGCTAGCAGTCTTTGAATGATATGGAGCAATGAAGCTACACTGAGCTTGGTGGATTCAGATGGATTTGTGAGTCATGAGGATGCCAGGATCCTACCTCAGGGTGTCTGGCTCACTTGACCATGGGTAAGAATTTGAAGTCTATTTTTTAAATTTTTATTTTTAATCAGTCTGAGAATATGCCATATTTTGCTGGGGGATGGCCTTAAGCTTCCTGAAGATCAGAGGCCAGCAAGGCTGACTTGCCAGTCTGGCCCAGGCTCATCCCCATAGTTACGTGGCCTTGCTTCCTAGTTTGCGTCCATGGAAACCACATTTGTATTTGATGGGCACCATGTCTACCTTCTGTCCCTGGCCTCAATTCCTTAACTACCCAGGCTCACCTTGTCCATCTAAAGCCCTGAGTGGCCTCTGCAAACTTCAGGAAAGGGCCAAGACAGAGATAGCCTATATTACACAGTAGGAGAGGCACCCTGCTGGGACAGCCCTCATCCTCCAATCGCTATCTTCCCTGGCACAGAGCTCTAGAGGCAGGAAAACTTTAGCGGGGGAGGGAAGCCATCATGTCCTTGGCCTCAACTCCAAATAGAATATGTTTTGTATATGACAGGTGACCCTGACATGCCTCAGGTGCTCACTGCCTTCTGGAAGACCTCAGTTGGTAGCTCACAAATATTCACTTGTGTTGGAATCAACAGAGAACATACAGTGAGTCACAGAGTCCTAGACCCCTCTCCCAGGGGTACTAAACATGTAAGTCTCAGAGACTG